AGGAACCAAAAAAAAAAAAAAGACAGATCTGAATATTTAGCAGCTCTAACTAAAACCTACGCTGATCTTACTGCCAAATTGTCCATGAATTTGATCTACTTTACTTAATTATCTAAATCTCATCGATCGGAAGATAGAAGGAATACAACTCTTTGTTTCCAATAGCAAATATGGGACTAATTCAATCCCAGTTGAGTACATTATATCAATTCTCTAAGTGTGTGCTGCTTATATCGGGTCCTTTTCATTCCTTTTTTTATTGGATAAGTACGGGTCCTTTTCATTCTAATACTTCAACAATTTTGTGATCTTTGACTTTTAAGCATACTAGGCTATGTTACGCGGACTCTCCAAAATGTCGTTTCACCCGTGTCGGATCCTCCCAATAAATATACTACTTTCGAAGGATCGAACACGCACCCAGCAACATTTTCAGAGAGTCCTAACAACATGTAGATATTAGGAGCTCTTAAAACCAAATAGTCTCCAACTCTCGCTTTTATCGATATACAGACATACAAGTATCAAACACAAATAAAAACTCTCTACAACAACAAGTAGCCATAGAGCCAACCGCCTATATGGATCCTTCAAAGCCCATTGTGATCGTTCTTAATTAATTCCGTATTAATATAGAGAAACTGTAGGTCGTTTAAGACAGTTTCCCTCGATGTCATTTAGGTCTATTTCGGAGGAGTATGAGCCCACTCTTATACCCTGCTCCTACCGAGATACCTGATTTCGTGTCAGTAATACAGCTCGAATTTGTGACATGCACCCAATCCACACATCCCGCTGGACAAGAAAAATTTCTTTGCTCATCAAGAAAATAATGACCGTACTCGAAAAAACTAAGCCAGGCCAACTTCAGACTGTCACTTTAACTAAAACTTTGACTCATCTAAAGCAGCAAAAGCAATCAATAGTCAAACACTGCTTGAGTGAAGGAATATGAATTATCATTTATTTTTTCTTAAAAAGTACATGATCATTTGGTGCAGATATTAGAGTTCTAACAATATGAATATTGCCCTCTTTCACCAATAATATTCCACCACATCATTAGCTAATGTAGGCACATGACCATCTAGAGCAAGAAAATGACAATAAAATTTTGACAAATTACAAAATAACATTTAAATTTTCTTAGCATAAAGTAATTATTACTCCCTAGGACGCAATTTATGCGATGCACCTTCCTTTTAAACCATCCCAACAAGAATAATATATTTCTTATTTTTTAAATGACGGTAGTGTCCGAACCAGCATGTGCAACCTCACTAATTCCGGTATCTATACCATCCACTAGGGTAACTATGTCCACCAAGAACTAGGCAGATGGGAAGAAATCACACATAATACCTTTCTATATTTAGAAATAATTTAATTTTAAACTTCATATTTTCTTTAATGAGATGATTTATGGTCGCACAAATATCTATATCTATATATACCACAAGTTTTAAAGATCTTTTTTTTTTCTTAAACTCCATGTCTAGTCAAAGTGCATCACCTAAAATGGGACGAAGGTAGTACCAACAACTAACAAAATAGCCAAAATAAAAACATACTAAAATAAAACTTTGATAATTAAGAAGAAAGGGAAAAAAGAAGTACCAGAATCGGGGTTAATGAGATTGAAAGCCAAATCAAATGGGGTTTTGGAAAATTTGAGATAAAGATAAACGGGCAAACAATTGGGGCAAGAAGTGGGTAGTCCGAAACAGGATTTTCGGGTCACCAGTGTCAGCTTCTCTCTCTCTTTTGCTTCTTCCATTATCAAATTATGAAATTGAAATTGGTGAGAACAAAACCCTAGTAGGGTAGGGTTTTAACTTCTGGAGAAAATTAAGGGCGGTGTTTTGGGAAATTAGGGACTGAAATAGGGACTTTCGGGATTAGAAGGCCTGTGTAGCATTTTGCGATCATAAATGTCTCTCTTTTATAATTTACCTCACAAATTGTTTTTGAAAAAAGCACACTTTGTTATAAATATATTATATTATGATGTTCATTTAGTACTATATTGTAAATAAGCTTCCTGAAAATCTTATCTATATAAGACTCCGTCGTAAATATATTTATCTATTTAGTACTCTATTTTGGAAATAAGTCTCCTCAATGAGCATATCTTTTCAGTACTCCGTTATGAATAAACATCACCCCCGTTAGAAGATTATCTATATCTGGTACAATGAGCTTATCCTTTGGGTACCCCATTATGGATAAATATCACACCTGGTAGAAGATTATCCATATCTGGTACAATGAGCTTATCATTTCGGTACCCCGTTATGGATAAACATCACCCCGGTAGAAGATTATCCATATCTGGTACAATGAGCTTATCATTTCGGTACCCCGTTATGGATAAACATCACCCCGGTAGAAGATTATCCATATCTGGTACAATGAGCTTAACCTGTTGATACTCCGTTACGGATAAACATTACCTCCGATAGAAGATTATCTATATCTGGTATAGTAGCAGCTTGCAGAAACAGCTTACACGGCACCTTGCTTTCTTATATAAATAGAGAAAATTTCAGTTCATTATGAGGATTAGTTTGAAGTTTGAATAATATATCAATTTCTCTCTATACTTGTCTTTACTTTACAATCTTTATTTATAATACGTTATCAGCACGAGACTCTGCCATCTCGAGCAAATACTTTGAAAGTATCAGAGGTACGAACTTTTTTTTTTTAAATAATGTCAAATCTTTCTAAACTTGAATTTGTAGCCCTGGATATATCGGGCAAAAGCTATATGTCTTGGGTGCTTGATGCTGAAATTCATCTTGATGAGATGGGTATGGCAGCCACCATCAAGGACAAAAATCAAGAATCAAACCAAGATCGTGCCAAAGCAATGATATTCCTACGCCATCACTTTGACGAAGGCTTGAAAATGGAGTATCTCACTATTAAAGATCCAGTCATATTGTGGAATAATTTGAAAGATAGATATGACCACCTGAAGATGGTCGTTCTTCCACATGCACGTTATGATTGGACTCATCTAAGGCTACACGATTTTAAATCTATCAGTGAGTATAATTCTGTTATGTTCAAAATTATTTTCCAATTGAAATTATATGGTGATAATATTACTGATCATGATATGTTGGAGAAAACTTTCACTACTTTTCATGCCTCGAATATGCTCCTGCAGCGGCAATATCGAGAGATGAGGTTCAAAAAGTATTCTGAACTTATCTCACATCTTCTTATAGTCGAGCAACATAGTGGGCTATTAATGAAAAACCATGAAAGCCGACCAACTAGCTCTTGTCCATTCCCTGAAGTGAATAAGACGAATTTCCACCAAGCTAAGCGTGGAAGAGGACGTGGCCCCAATCGTGGTCATGACCGTAGTCGGGGAAGAAACTTTAATCATGGTAATAATAATGCACCAAAGAACCCTCCTCACCACCAGCAGTGGAAAAGGAAGGAACAAAAGCATGAAGCGGTGCAAGCAGCAAACACAGAAAATGCATGTTATAGATGTGGAGGAAAAGGACACTGGTCACGTACATGTCGTACGCCAAAGCACCTGGTTGAGCTGTATCAAGCCTCCCTGAAGAGGACAGAGAAAAATGCTGAAGCAAATTTTATTTCTGAAGATAATTTAGAGTTCATGCATTTGGATGCAGCTGATTACTTTGCACTCCCGGAAGGAAAAACAAGTCATGTGATCGGTGATGAATCTGTAGAGATGTAAATATTTTATTTTTTGTTGTTTGTAGTAGATAGTATGGTTATGTAATTGTTGTACATAAATAAAAGTTATACTTTGATAATGATGTTTACTATCATATTTATTTTGTTTATGTTATTTTGAAGAAATTTTCTCGCATGATACCAGAAGTGTCTGAGAGATATTTGGTAGTACAAAATTTATCAAAAGCTCCTGAAGAGCTAACTGTTTGTCTAGAAGACACATGACACAAGTAGTGCCTGAATAATATTTGATTGTGGACAATAAATTGAAGGCTCCCGAAGAGCTTTTATGCAAATTTGTCATTCATATTATATGATTGTGGTCAGAACATATGTTGTAATAAACTAGAAGTTTACTAATACGAATGGTTATCATACTGAGACTATAAATAATTGGAAGATTGAAAATCTTCATGTTTCCACAATCATAGGGGGTAAAATAATATGTATGTGAGAAGTTACCCGCCTTATTATTCAATTTGTACTCCATCGTGTATCACAGTAAACCAGAAGTTTACTAATGCAAAAGTTTATGCTATAGTAAAATCAGAAGCTTACTAAGAGATAGCACATGCCATGATAAACTTGAAATTTTCATTTGCCATTTTTAAATGAGCTATTTGAGAATTCAGATAAGCATATACTGAAGAACTAGAAGATTCTTCAAGAATTCTCTTGTGTTGCTTATTCTCATAATAAATTGATTATACCAACTAAAGTTGGGACTAAGACCCCTGAATTATGGAATATATAAAATATGAATATGGGCCAATTCACCTATCATGTGAACCACTTATAGATGCATATATGAGATGGTTACATGTGTGTTTATTGTCAACTTGCAGTTTGGCATTTGAAATTGCTTTTCTCAATTAAAAGCATAATTTTCAGATTATGAAATCAAGATAGTTCATCTTGATGATGCTAGTTTATATCCAAGATAGTTTAGCATTGAATACCTCCTATTAATGGCTAAACTATTGCTTATGAGAACAAAGCCTCATGTGTTGGTCTGAGATTTTCTAAATTGCATACAACACTTGTATGCATCAGACCAACAATATATGATAAGTACTCCCCTCACAATTGGTTTAGGGTTAGAAACCAAATATTTTTACTATCTAATAACTTTTGATGTGTGGCATATGATTAATTTCTCTACCATAATACACAAAGATAGGTTTCCCAAAGAAGATTGGGGATATGTGTTAGTTTTTCTAATATTTGGGGGATGAAATAAATAACTGAAAATATGCTATATGAATCAAATTATCATTAATATGATCCTCACTTAGAAGATAATTCAAGTCAAATGCCAGAAGCATTTGCTGATTCAAAATTAAATATCATATTTCAGATGCAAATGCTCCTATTAAAATTAAAGTCCCTGAAGGATAAAGTTTACTGCACGCATGAAGCGTAGTAAACCGATCTGTTCCAAAGGTAACAATCCTTGAAAAATGATAGGAGCAAATGATTGAAATGATCATAACGAGGAAGATATGAGATCTAGAAGAGCCCACGACATAACATTTCATGAAACCCCAAAAGAAGTTCAGGTACCTGAAAATAAAGAAAGTGATGAGATCTCAACAAGTTATGTCGCTTAGGAACCGATACAAAATGATCGTCGACGATATATTTGATACAATATAGTTCATAATATTGTAAAAGATTGTGAGGATCGGACTTGTAATCCAGACACATAAAGATTTCATGCTATCTAAATACAAGTCATAACCTATATGACTCATTTGATTAAGTTTATATGAAGACCCCTGAAGGATTTAAAATGCCTGGAGCATATAGTTCAAAGTATCGTGAAATGTACTCAATCAGATTACAAAGATCTTTGTACGGTTTAAATCAATCTGGGCGCATGCGATATAATCGCCTCAGTGCATATTTGATGAAAGAAGGTTACATAAATGATGTTATTTGTCCATCTATTTTTATAAAGAAAATGACATCAAAATTTGTTATACTTGTTGTTTATGTTGATGACATAAATCTTGTTGGAACTCTAGAAGAGCTCCAAAAGGCAATTGAATATCTTAAGAAAGAATTTGAGATGAAAGATCTTGGAAAGACAAAACTTTGTCTTGGTCTGCAGATTGAACGTTTAACAGACGGGATCTTTATCCATCAATCCGCCTATACGGAAAGGATTTTAAAACGTTTTTACATGGACAAAGCGCACCCATTAAGTACATCAATGGTTGTTCGATCACTTGAAGTAAATAAGGATTTGTTCCGACCTTCAGAAGAGGATGAGGAACTCCTTGATCCCGAAATACTTTATCTTAGTGCAATTGGTGCACTTATGTATCTTGCTAATGCTACAAGGCCTGACATAGCATTTTCTGTTAAGTTACTAGCAAGATATAGCCTATTCTCCTACACAGAGACATTGGAACGGGATTAAGCATATATCACGATATTTAAAGGGAACACTTGATATGGGTTTATTTTATTCTAATAAAGGTATTGTCATATAACTGCGTTCCACAAAGCAATCTATTGTTGCTACTTCTTCAAATCATGCTGAGATAATTGCTATTCATGAAGCAAGTATGGAATGCGTATGGTTGAGATTAGTGATTCATTTTATTCAAGGAAAATGTGGTTTGGAATGTGATAAAAGATCTACAATTTTATACGAAGACAATGCTGCATGCATAGCCCAATTACAGAGAGGAATTATAAAAGGAGATAGAACAAATCACATTTCACCAAAATTATTTTACACACATGATCTTCAGAAAAAATGGTGACATTGATGTGCAGCGAATCCGTTCAAGTGACAATCCGACAGATTTATTCACTAAATCTTTGCCAACTTCAACTTTTGAGAAGATGGTATACAAGATTGAATGCGGAGACTCAAATACTTGAAACAAGGTTTTTATCAGGGGGGAATAAAATACGCGTTATACTCTTTTTCCCTTACTAAGGTTTTTCCCACAGGGTTTTCCTTATAAGGTTTTTAACGAGACAACTAGTTATGCGTATTACTAAATATGTGTACTCTTTTTTCTTCACTATGATTTTTCCCACGGTTTTTTTTTCTAATAAGGTTTTAATGAGACACATTATCTTTTAATGAACATCCAATGGGGAGTGTTATAAATATATTATATTATGGATGTTCATTTAGTACTACGTTGTAAATAAGCTTCCTGAAGAAGGTTATCTA